TTTTGTTTAACTTGAACGATTAATTAATTTCTGTTTGCTAATTAATCGATGTAGACGAGATGTAGTGTAGCTTATCGTACAAATGTGCGTATTGGTATTGACAATAGGCGTTGATTGTGTATTTATAATGAACGATAAAATATGGTGATCCCGTTTTTTACGTAGTTGGTATAAAACAAGTAGCACCTCCTACGGTGTATTTGTAGATGCGTGTGACGTAAATATCGGGGACTATAGAATAGTTTCCTCACCAATCTTTAGGTAAAAGCGCCTCCGTATGAATATATTCACTCGTGTTCACTTTTTTTTATTTATAATAATTATTTGAATATATCACTCACTAGACAGAATTTCTTTCACAGAAAAGAAAATGAAAACGGCTACCGCTGCCACCAATGTTATGAACGCCACTGCGTATGCCTGTGATGTTCTGTTATATTTTATATTGTGTCTCTGGTTGTATCCGAAGACGACAATTTGTTGAAACCGTTCTCTGTGTAGCGGGTGATAATCAAATGTTGTTTAATAGTTTATTAATAAAAAGAATACACGTTTTAGATTTATATGAGAATCTTATACTTTATTAGTTTTAAAAAATATGATTTATACTACAAGCTCACTACTTAGCTCGAATGAGTCGAGTTCTAGACTGAATTGCCGACAGGACCGATACTACATTCTTGTCGCGTATTAGCAAAATATCTAAGATAAGACGCCTACATACAGGCGTTATTATATTCTGTAAAACAAGCGTCTCTATAGTCTCTATAGTGGTGGGCATATAACAATATATACATTGATCAACTTATGATTTTATTTATATATTGTCTTATTGTCTAATAATTTTTCACACCTTTATACGTTTTATACGCATAAAAAATCAAAAAAAACCTAACTGCGCTGTACTATACGTTCCACAAATTATGGAAAACGCCGACACCGTCGTGGAGGAGGTGATGGAACACCTGATAGCGGAAGTGGTTTCGGACTCGAGTAATATAGAGACAACCGTCCACTCGGTTCTAAAAGACATCATGGAAATGGAATTTGGACACCAAAAAAGAACACTGGAAACCGACACCGTTTCAGAGGAATGCCGAGACAGACGGATGGTCGTCATCGTGGATCAGTTGGTGGATGCAATGGTGCACCTAGTGTCCGAAAAGTTGTCGGCCGCGCCGCACGTACAGCCCGGAGACGGAAACGCTGTACTGCGGTGCGAGGAGGAAGAGGAAGAGAAGGAGGAGGAGGAGAAGATGGCCACCGGTGGAGACTTCGTGGTCGTCTTGGACGAAGGAGCTCCGACCGAGGATGAGACGGAGATCGACGAACCACCGGCAACACAAGCGGCAGTCTCTTCACGCGGGCGGGTCAGGCGATTGGCGGCCGCCGCGTGGAGAGGAGTGAAACGGGCCGGACGAGCAGTGATTTGCCTGGGTTGCTGAAAACGTTGTCAACGCCTCGGTCGAGGGCAGCAGTCAAGGCGAAGCGATGTGGGGATCGAGGTATGTGATGTACGTGAAAGTGCACTTCCGGGGTGATCGGCAGAAGGTCACCGACACACGTTCTCCGGCCACCGGCGGCAGGGACACGGGATCGCGGACGTCCGGAGACCCTCTGGAAGCGTGGCGGGCCCCGGCCGCTTCGGTCCGGGAGCGACGACGACGACGACACGACGAGCTGGCTAGCTGTACCGGTGGTACCTGCACTTGCGGTACGACTGCTGCAGCGTTGCACCGCGAAGACGACTCGCGACGGCGTCGACGGAAACCGAAGAGCGCAAGTCGGCCGGCGAGTGACGGACGACTTTAATCATTATTATCGTACGGTGGCTAGGGACCGTATGATAATAATATTTTAGTCTTCGTCGCTCGCTCCGACGAGCTTCTTCGGTGACCGTCTTCGCCCTTCGCCACAGTCGTCTTCGGCACCTGCAGCACAACACCTATAGCGCACATCATCGCTCACTAGCCAACCGTCGCCGACCGTCATCGTCGCTCTCGCAGCCGTCGTGGTCGGGTTCCGTCCGCTTCCGCAGTCGTCTTCGCTTCCTCGAGGAAACGCGTCCGCGACTCTTGTCCCCCCGCAGGACCGGCCGCGAGAAAGTTGTGGAGGTGACCATCATCTGCACCACCCACTCGCCATCACATACCCCCCCCCCCCACTTCGCCTCGTCTTGACTGATGTCTTTTTTTTTACAATTACAATTGATTGTAATTTATTCTGCCACACTTTTGAGCACCTTTTATATTTTTTTACATTTTAATTTTTGTTGATATCATTATTCGACATGTTTTTTGCCACTTTGAGCACATTTTCATTTTTTTTAAATATTATTATTGTTTCTGTTTTTTTGCCACGTTGAGCACCATTTTTATTGTTAATATTATTGTTCCTGTTTTTTTGCCACGTTGAGCACCTTTTTTTGTTGTTAATATTATTGCTCCTGTTTTTTTGCCGGATTGCGAGCATTTTTCCTATTTTTCTTTATATTGCTTATTAATTATTTTCGGTATAAATGTTTCAAAATTTTAAAGCACTCGTTAATTATATATCATTTATAATATTATTGAATTATCATTTATCTCACACCTCTAATGTTTTTTGTTTATTTTTTTTCAAAATTATAAACCACGGTGTTTAAAAATTATATTATTTTTATACTTGATAGTATTTATTACTGTATTCAAATTATTATTATAATTTATATAATAACATTGTTATATTATCTATAAATTATCCAGTAATAAAATTATATTTTTTATACAGTAAAATGTTGTTTTTATATTTTTTGTATTAAACAGTAGGTACTATTTTATTTATTACAACAGAAAAACGATTGATGAACATGATCGTGGTAATGTGGGACCTATGAAGAATATTAACCAATAACTTTTTGGATACCAAACCTCAAAAAAATATTATATTGAACGTTTTGTCATCGTCAAAGTATAAGTGCAAGATATTGTCATGCACCATATATGTACATTGCACACATCATTGTAAAATTAATAAATTCATCGCCCAGCTAAGAGTCTAAAATAATAATAATAAAAACTATTGTTTTCGATGTTGTTGAAAAAATACCATAGTACATCACAATGTGCAGTTTACGTAAAATTTGGTAGGTACTGCGCTGACCCGTCCATTGATCCACAAGTGTTCTGACGATCGAATCCGCACACGCTGTGAATTATGACGATGATTCCTGTTGTGTACACAATGCGATTAGTTAAAACATTCAGAACTCTATAAACTAATATTTTAAAATACATTTAACATATAATAAGCAAATAAAAATTGAAATAAAAAAACACACACACACACTTCTATATACACTAGGTAGTAACATATTTTGTTGATGAAGCGAATTATTGATCGATAAATAAAAAAAAAACGGAATATTTTAAGGATGCACTGAACGTTATTTGCATCGCCGAAGATAATATATAGACGTCGTAGACCAGACTGGTTCTTAAACTGTGGACCACAGCGGCGGTTCTATCTAAAATTAAAATGCAACATTTTTTATGAAAAATTATGTATAAGAATAATAATTATAAACAACGTAGCCACGTAGGTATGTTCGTATCGTGTATACCTACTTGATATTTGATTTGTAATATAAAACAAGTATTAAAATATTAATTATGATGATATGAGATATTTCGTAAAAAAAAAAAGGTAGGTAGGTTGTAGGTATTCGAAAGAAAATTGGTAGGAGGTCCGAGAATTTTAAAAGCCTTCCATCATATTCACCAAAATTTTAAGAACCGCTGTAGCTGATTTACTGAGTACCTACCTACGTGTAATAATATCTGATAATTCTGTAAGAGTTGATAAAATACGGTAAAATGTTAATGACGATTATTTACCAACAACATTGTATGCACAGAATTAATCATTTTAAAATATTATCAAAATTATCAGAAATTTACTTGGGACCATTGCCCGATAATTATAAAAAAGCTACAATTAAGTATTTATTTTATACTTAATTATTATATTATACCTACTTATTTGTCATTTGTCATTTGTCTCCGTCACAATGTTTCGCACCAATCCTTTCATATAAAAAACTCACAACAAAACGCATTTTTGGCCATCTCGGTGATTTAAAGAAAGATGATGCAGTTAATAAACTTGAGCGAGATAAATGTTTTTACCAACAAAGTTGTTCTTATAATTAGGTAGATTTACAAATTGGCTATTTTGAATTTTTCAATTTTCAGTGGAAAAAATATTTTTTTTTTATTTTACATGTAGTAGGTACAAGTGTCTATATAAATTATTTTTAAATATTGATTAGAACAAAAGTTATTTCAACCGCCAGGTCTTCACTGTTACTGCACTCTGTATTTTAAAAAATTTAATGCATTCTTTAATAAATCATATTTATTTCAGGATGTAATAAAATTGAAAAATACAGTGCCCATCACAATTAAGATTATGCCCATAAATTGCTCAATTCTTTGAAATATTAAACTATTAATACATTTTTTCTTTTAATATGCACTCTTATAGTATCAGTTATTTATACTCTGTGTATGAATACATTTTAACTCTGTCGTGTGTCAAGTGAAATGTGAGAGGTTATTTAGAAAACTAAAAATAATTCAAAACAGACTGGGTCATCTTTAGAGCAGAATCGTTTGGAAATGTCAATGTCTATTGAACGAGATATTTTGGAAATTTCATGGAAGATAAAAATTGTTTTTTTTTTTTTTAATGAAAAGTAAGATGTCTTTTAATAAGAAGTACTTATTATGTCTATTATGATAAAGTTAATTTGTTTGGATAATAAAAGAAAATCGATTTTAATTCAAATATTCAAATATTATTACTTTTAGATGAACCAGAAATGAGTTTTAATAATTTTTCAAAATGTTAGGAATATGATTCAAAATATTGATTAGAAATTGAACGTTTTAAAATTAATTAGTTTTCATGTCATGTACTGTACTATGTACAACCAATATTTTTTATCAGTGATATGAATATTAACGGACTTTTGTGTTTTCATTAGTAGAAACATCTACAGTAATATTAAGGATATCATTTAAGTATTTAACATATCAGAGGAACCATCAGAAGGAGTATCATTAATATCAACATTTACTGCACAAGGAGAATTAGACTCTGATAAATTCATGGTATAATGGTTATCACTTCCATCAATATTTGATGATAGAAAGTCATTAATTTTTTCATGCAACTTATTTTCCATTTCCATTGGTGACACATCTAAAAATAAAATTAAAAACAAAATGTATTTCACAATTTATAGCTTAAACATAATAGATATTAGTATGGGTTTATAAAAATACAGTGGAAGTAAACTAATATCATTGAGTATATATATACTAATATTGAATACTTATACTAATATATTAAGAATATTAAGTCGATGAATAAAAGTCAAATATGTATTAAATAAGTTTTTTTTTAAATTTTCATTAGGTAATAATTAATTACGGGAAATACAAAAACAAGAAAACATTAAATGTAAAATAATTAATTGTTTATAAATTTGAAATAAAAATACTTAATTAAGTATAAATAATTATTAGTTATTAAATGTCTTGGGATACCTAACATTTTTTATAGTCGTAAGAAAGTTATTCAATTTACTGCAATGATTTCCTAGTAAAATGTTTGCAAAATTATTTTATAGCTACCAGTGGTGGATGGGAGGGGGGGGGGTGAAGGGGCGTCCCCCCCTTGGGCTGCCTTTTTAACGTTATTTTCTATTATAATATTTGGCTTTACAAAAAGACAATTTAATTTTTGAAAATTCGCCCTCCCCCCCGTTTGGTGACTTTTGGATCCGCTACTGATAGCTACACTGTTACAGTTATGTAAAATGTATGAGTAAATAAATTGAAGATTCAACTTTCAGTCAGATCATAAAATTGACTACTTGAGTAGGACTGTTACCTAAATAAGATTTTAGCCAATGATCAAAAATATAAACATATATAGTATTATGATTTATGATTATAAACATATAAGACATATAAAATATATATTTATCATTTATATATAAGTTATAACTATTTTAAACATTTTCAAATAATATATTATGTTAGTACTACTGAATATTAGACAAATATATATATGTTCAATACTATACAATTCTTCAAATTTAACAGTAGTTAAATCTTGACCCCTTTCATTTCGTTTTTGAAGTGCCAAGTAAATTAAGTTTTTTACTTCATCGACCCACTTGGTTTCAATTAGTCGTATACTAATACGATCTTTAACACTGCATAGTAATAAAAACATCAGAAAACTATATTATTATATATTATATTTATTTATGAATAATTATAAGAAATAAATGCATGGATAATAGGTAGGTATCTTAATCATTTTAGTTCATGTAATGTTGAACTAGGTACTAACTAAAGAGATTTAAAAATGTCTTTAAGAGTATATACACTAGACAGGTATACCTACACTAAATATGGTATTAATAAAAAAATAAAAACTTACATTTCATCTATAGTTGTAGATCTGTTACACATATTTGTAATTTTTATAGATTGAGAGGTATTAGGTAAAATCGACGAGTTTTTCAGTTCTAGATCTCTGATAGGTAGGTACACAGCGAGGACACTCAAGGACAAGCACAAAGATTGATAATATCGACCCGTTTGGACCAATTTTTCTAAAACACCACTCGTTTGGACCAATTTTGAAGACCCGTTTGGACTAAAAAATATTACTTTTATACAACTCGTTTGGACCAGCATTTTCTTTCCCATTTTATATTTAACAGGCTTAGGACTGTCTTTGGCATGATTAAAAATGCTGTTTCTTATTTTCATTATTATTATTTAATTGTGTATAATATTAAAAAAATAAATAGGTAGGTACATTATGTACAAATTATTATTTTTTTAAATACGAGTCGACTGAATTACGAAAATTACGAATTATATTGTGCCCATCGTGCGTGTAGTATGTTGTGTTTTTTAAGTGTGTCATTTATTTACTTTATTTAAAATGTACTAAAAAAATTGGCCCAAACGGGTTCACAAAATCCTGGTCCAAACGGGTTACATTTTTATTAGTGACCTAAACATCCCTGGCCCAAACGTGCCTCGCCCATAATATCATTGTGAATAAAGTAATTTAAATATTATAACCTATTTACGTGGAACCCTGTTTTAACTTTTTCAATCCTTAGCTATAAAATTTTACAAATTATATAAATATTTTATAATTTTTTAACTACTGTACATATTTTTATGTCTTGAAAAATCTATTACAAATATTTGGGGAAAAAAATAAATATTGAAAAAAAGGTCTAACCATTTAACTCGGAATCTCTAGGTACTGTATTACTACAATTTACAAATTATTAGGTACTGATATTTTATTAAATGATAATCAATAAGCATGTTCGCCATTTTATTCAAACTAGTCTAAGTTATGTTGTCCTAAAAAAATAATTAGTTTTTAATTATCACACTAATATTATTCTATTAATATAATATTCTAAAATCTAAAATTGTCAGATATTTATTAATTCTTAAAAGCATGTTAAAATAAAATTCTTTATAAATGATAATTTTAATTTTTTTTACACCTATATGTCCTATACAAATTTCTAATTTTTATAAAATGGTTTCGGGCCGTTTGGAATATTTCCGCGGGTCGCGGGTTGGGCAAGTCTGGTGTATAGTATGTACCTAGTTATGACCTAGCCCATTGTAACGTAGGTACTATTCTTTACATCACACAATATATCTAAAGTAATAATGGATTTAGCAGATATTAAAGGTTAACGTGAATAATTGGTGAAAATGGCTCAAGTACAATAAATACTAGATTCAATATTACTTCTAAGATTTTAGGTATAGTAGTTACTATGGTACTTAACCATTTAAAAGAATAAAGGTATATTATCCTTAATATAAACACTTTAATAACTGAGAAACTATTAGTTAGAGTTTTGAATTAAGTAGGTATGTAAACTTACATCAAAACAATTATCTACTAAATAATTACCAGTAAAATGGTTTTTGTTTGAAAAACACTAGGTATCTAGTCTGCAGGTCTTATCTACTATTTTTTTTCCATTTCATATTATAGTTACTGTACTATCCATTTATTTTTTATACATATTTTATAAGGTTGTAAAAATCGTGTTTTTAAAATTTACACAAATGAGTAATTACAAAAAAAAATATGAAGGAAAAAAAATTATCAAGAAAAAACGCTTGAAAATAGGTACCTAACCTAACGACTTAGTACAAAAAATTTAAAATAAGATTGTTTAGTTTTCTTACAAATTTTACAATTAATAAAATAATTCTATACAGCGTGCAGCCTGTAACACTATCATATGTCTTAAACATTTTATAGCCATTGTATTATCTAGTTGTTGGTATATTTAAAATAAAAATGTTTTAAAATAAATCATAATAATATTGTCGGATATTCAATAGTAATGATATGATAATAATAAATATATTTATTATTCCACTCTTTTTATATTTATATATATTATGAGACGAATATTTAAAAACGGTTAATTAGTTATAAATAAGTAAGCATTTGAATAGAGTAAGTACTGCTGAGGAAAAAAACGACAGCAATATGGTCGAGTGCTGCAATGCAAAATTTTAAATCAAGAAATTAAAAATAAAAAAATTTTACGAAGGTCGAAATTACGCACGGCACCGCGAAGTTGTAATCATTAACTTATCATTTACTATTATACGACATAGAGTTTAAACATCACTCGTTTTAAATATCACAGCCATGAGGCGCATCGGTATATGTCATTAGGGTTTCACCATACGGCGATTTCGGGCGGTAGCCGCACGTCAGACCTCCGCACAAACTAGTGTCGGACTGGTTGCTTATATATCTAACATCCAACTGGAAACCGTCACATAGGAGAACGACGGTACACCGTTTCTGTCCATAGTCCGACACCGACCGCCGAACGCGGCAGACCCGCATCGGAGAGCCGCCAGATGGAGCCGCGCGATCGGTTTTCAAATAAATTAATATTATTATATTTATTACGTTCCCGCCGCGGGCCGTGGCGAATGACTATAATATTATTATTATTGCGTTTGCCGGTCCACCCGGCACCATCTGAACCACAACAAAACAGTAACAATCCTAACAATAGATACAAAATGATAGATTATTATGGTAGTTGTTATTGTTTAATTGCTTAGTTAGGTCTAGGGTATCGATTTTTTTATTATTAATATTTTTGAGATGGTTAGGTACTTATATATGTATGTTTTTGTCCATCGCACACATTTTAACATGAATTTAGTATTTAAACGTGAAAAAAATTAACAATACCTACATACTTAGTACGTGGAAGAAAAAAAAATGTCTTAACATACAATTATTGCAATAATAAATTGTAAAAAAAAACGCACTACTTCGACGCTTTGTACATAATATAACATAAACTCATACCCAACTATAATAAAAACCTCAACAGTTGTGTTTACTATTTAATACAAAAAAAAATAGAGAATTATTATGTAAACATCCTTTGTTACATACTTACATATAATATAATACTTAAAATTGCCTAATAGCTTATGTAATATACGATGCATTTGGTGACATCATACAAGCTGAAATAAGGTGAATACTTAATTGATTATTTTCTTTGACAAAAAAATCGGCTGCATCCGAATTGGTTCCCATACCTGAAAATTGACATCCTAATTGGTTCCCGACATTCCAGGCAACACACATCCGAATTGGTTCCCGATACACACTTACGAAAAAGCAAAATACAATATAATATAAATAAAATATTTAATATTATTATAACATATATTTCCCATCATAATAAGTACATAATATGAACAGATAGTCATTAAGATAAAATCCGTGATAAAAACGTTGTTATATTATCGATATGGACAGATAGTCATCACTCGTTAGTCGGTACGACATTCAGTAACACATCGCAATTTCATAATAACCGTTGAGTTTACGTAGAGTGTTAAATTAGTGCAAATATGGAATTTATGTATAGTGAAAAAAATAAAAAACTTATAGTATTAGAAGGTTATAAGTTTGGATTTCAAAAAAAATTGGCAGACGACATTGACCGTTGGACATGTGTACAAAGAACATGTAAGTCGTATTTAAAAATAAATAATTTAAATATAATTGTTGATAAAAGTATTATACATAACCATGAAAAATGCCCTGATAAAAAACTTAACAGACAAAAATTAAGCAACAGTTCGAAACGAAAAGCCCAAGAAGCATTACATGAACGACCAGCAAAAATTATTCGCTGCGAGTTAGCTAAATCCGATATTGATACCATAGATGCTCAAGATCTATGTAGAATTAGAAAAAATATACACGCTAGTCGGTGCAGTACAATACCAACGTTGCCCAAAACATTGAGCGAGACTCATAACATATTAAATAATTATAATTTAATGACTAATCGGGGAGAACAGTTTTTATTTATTAACAGTGCAGAAACCAATATAATTGGATTTACATGTGATACCAATTTGGAAGTACGAGTATTGCGTCAAATGAAAACTGTGTTTATTGACGGTACTTTCAAAAGTTGTCCTAAGCTTTTTTACCAACTTTTTTCAATCCATGGTGTGAAAAATAACTACTATGTCCCTCTAGTTTTTTTTTTACTTCCAAATAAAACTAGTGAAACGTATACAAAAGCTTTTCGTTTCATTCAAAATTATTTAAACCCGGATTATTTATGCGGACTTTGAAAGAGCAATCCATGTAGCGATCTCTGAAGTATGGCCCTTAGCTCAATTAAAAGGTTGTCGGTTTCACTTGGGCCAAGCATGGTGGAGGAAGATACAACAATTAAGATTTTCAAATGAATTTAAAAATAACGATTCTGAAATAGGACGAACATTAAAATTGTTTTTTGGCTTATCTTTACTATCGCCCACAGAAGTTAACGATTGCTATATTAATGACTTAATGTCATTAAAACCGATAAATGAAAAACTTGATGAATTCTTCGATTATATTTTAGAAAATTATATTGAAAAAGATAGCTCATTTCCGCCAACAATGTGGGCTGAATATACCTGCAGTAGTATAGAACGAACGACTAATTGCTGTGAATCATTTCACAGCAAATTCAATAGTTGCTTTTATTCCGCACATCCGAACATATTTCAATTTATGGATGTACTAAAAGAAGTTCAAATTGAAACTTATATAAAATTGCGAAGTTCGAACAAACTACAAAACCTGAAGTCTAAAAATAAGGAAATATTCATAAAAACAGAAATGGACAAATATAAAAATAACGAAATCAGTAGATTTGAATTTTTTAAAAATGTTTGCTATAAGTTTTTCCCTCAATAAGAGAAAATAATAATTATAAAAAAAAATGCATGAATTAAAAAAAAAACAATATACCTGTATTTATAATATTTATTTTATATTTTTAAATTAAGATTTGAATTGTTAAAAAATGTTTGGTATAAGTTTTAATAATTATAAAAAAAATGCATGAATTAAAAAAAACTAT